TCCAGCATCGATTGTTTTCCAGTCCAAAGAGAGTGTTTCTTTCCAATGGCAAAGCCAACACGTCCGTGCTGAAATCACATCCTCGCTGAAACTGCTCCGTTTCAGGACGCTCACAGTTCAGAACAGAGCGGACTCTTGTTCCTTTCCCTTCATCCCTTGTTGACTGGAGGCCCTGTCTGTGCGAACGGTGACTGTGCTGACCATCTAACAGATGCGTCTTGGGCAAAGTAAACCAGAGGACGCCTCGGAGGTGAGGATGACACGGCTTGGTCTCACCTACTTCGGGCATGCTAGGAGAGGCCCCTCCTTCGTGCCTGGGAAGGCAGAGGGGCGGCGGAAGACAGGAAGACCCTGCACCCAAGGGCCTGACACAGAGAATGGAGCAATGGGCTTGAGTGCTTGAGAGTATGTGAGGATGGCAAAGGACAGGACAAGGTTCAGACCCACTCACAGGGTCACTGTGGACTGTACTCGACTCTACATCATCTAACAATAACAACTAACCAGTAGGCTGTGGGTTCAAGCCCAGCCAGAGGCACCTGGGTGACAAGGTGACGTCCTGACAGAATCAGCCCAGGAAACTGAGGTGCAGTCCTGCTGCGGCACACAAGGGGTCGCCATTGGGCCCACCCTGTGGCTGGTAATTTCTCAGCACTCTTTCATTTCTTTTTAAACAGAACAAAAAAAAAGAATCTATTTCTGGTGTTTCATGGAAGAAACCAAGTCTGATAGGTAGGGCAACACCAACCCTGGTCATCACTCACTTGCCCTCTCCTCTGCTACAACATAAAGTCTCAGTGCACACACACACAAACACACACACACACACAATTTCATGGGAGAGCATTCAAAGCACCACTTCATAGGGGAACCGAGGCTAAAGCCAGCCGTGGGCTCCCTGCACCCTCTGGAGGAAATACCCCGACCTCCCAGGCTCCAGGTTCTCCCAGCAGTGGGTGTGCCCCAGCAAACCTGGTAGCACAGCAGCTAAGTGCTGGGCTGCCAACCAATCAGGTGGCTTGTTCCTTTCAGAAACAGGACGGTTGTGGGACACTGGTTTCCATGAAGACTCAGGGAGCAAGGGGAACCATGGCGTCAGTTCAGACCCTTACAGCAGGCGGGCCCATCCTTCTGCCAGAGTGAAAGGTGGGTTCAAACTGCCAGGCCAGCCTTGGAAACCCCACAGGCAGCTGCTGTCCTGCAGGGTGCTGGGAGCTGGACTGACTTGGCCACTGGGGTCTTCCGCCCCAGCCTCCTTCCGATCCATCACACACCGCGGTGGCCTGTTAGTCCAGTGGTCGGGGATGGGGATTTATGTTTTCTTGTGTTGAGGTGCAACCTATATTGAAGGCTGATGGCCACTGCACTCCCCAAAGGCACACAGTTCACGTCCATGAGGCCTGCTCTGCAGGAGGATGGGCAACCCCTCCCCTGTGAAAACCAGCTGGAGGGTCAGCGGTGGGTCCGTTCCACTCGAAGGTTCCCAGCAGCAGCAGCCGCCTTTGATCTTCAGCAAGGGCTCTGAGTCTCACTGCTTCTGACGGCCTGCAGTCACAGGCTGTGTGTCTTCCTCCAATCAGTGAGCCACGTTCCTGTTAGGTGATTAATGTGAGTGTGGTTCTTACATCAGGTGAAGCGTTCTCTGGAAGGAAAGCAAACTGGAAGCCATGGAGCCCTGGGGATGCAGGGGCCTAGGTGCTTGGTGGAGGCCCGAGGGGCTGGCTGTTCAAACCCCGAGGCAGGTCCATGGAACCCAGGGTGGTGACTGGCTTCCACACCACAGGCTCAGAACCCTGTCGGGCACACCCACTGTGCCTGCGGGGTTCACAGGGTCCCACTCACTGGAAAGGTACTTGGTTAGGTGTGTAACTCGCCGGTGCCCTGGGCTCGGGCATCAGAGACAAGGATGGTGCAGGAAAGGCCAGGCTCACACTGATTCCAGGGTGGCAGAGTCACCGCTGGCCTGGTGACATCTAACCGCCCCACAGGAGTCAGCAATCCTGGCACCGGCTTCCTCAGCCCCTCCTGCTGTGCTCACGCCCTCAGCAGGGGTCAGGCTGCCTCAGCTGTAAATCCCAAGGGCGGACACTGTCCATCTCGGTCCTGAGGAGCTGACGGGAACTGAAGCACCACAAAGGCCCTGTGGGCTGGCAGCATCGTTCTCCACTGACTGCGCCACTGGGGCTCACTCTCACAGCCGAGCCCCACCCTCCCCCAGCTCTCATCATGTGGTTGGTTAACTGCTGGAACAGTAACGGAAAGGTCGGTGGTTCAAATCTACCAGTCAATCTTTGGGAGAAAAAGCCCATCTTTCTCCCTTGGAACGGCTGCTGGATTTGAAATGACGATCTTCTGCTTAACAGCATAATATATAATGCACTCTGCCACCAGATTCCCTTAAAAGAATTTTAGCTAAGTCTATTTTCAAGTTTCAGAAGACAACCTTGAAGTAGCTAGGCCTTTTGTCCTTTTTTTCCTTTTTCTTCTTCTTCTTCTTAATTTTAATGAAAATTTAGAGATTTTGGATTTCCATTCATTCATTGTTGCACTTTTCTCCCTGCCCATCCCCTCCCTCCAGTTGTTCCTCTCTTTGAAAAGTAAAAGAAAAATTCTTTCATTGTTATACAACCCCTCCCCCCCAAGGAGAGCAAAGGTTACAGTGTGTGTCAGCACTGGGCCAACCGTGGGAAACAGCTCCCGGTCAGATGCAGCCCAAGCTGCGCCTCTGAGTGACCTCCGTTGTCTTGTTGGACAGGGAGCCTGCACCATGCACCTCATCGAGGCAGAAAGCTTGATTTAGAACCAGCTCTCTGTGGGAAGGTGGCTGGACAGCTGGACTGTGTACCACGCCCCAGATCTTGCCCGATGAGCTGCACCGAGTTCCTCTGTGACTGGGCAGAGCACACTTCCTCCTGTAAGTGGGGATGGGTCCCCACAGAGACTCTACCTCAATGAGAACAACACCCAGCCCAGTGCTGGCCACCAGCACAGCGGTGGTCTCTGAACTCAATAACTGCAGGCCCTGGGGGAGGGCAGAGAAGGGGGCCCAGTCGGCTCCGAACTGACAGTCTTCTTCCTGGGACAGCTGGTGGCTTCTAACTCCCAACCTTTCACTTGGCACTCAAGTGCTTTAATTACTGCATAACCTGGCCTGAGCCACCCCAGCCGGTTCTCAGCTTTCTGGGAGCTCCCTTCTAGCACCTTCTGTGGAGCTGCTGGGTGGGTCTGAACTGCCAACCTCTCAGTGCGCCTCCAGCTGGGAGCCAGGGAGGCTCCTCCTCCCAGTCCAGGAAGGGATGAGAGGCAACAATACAGTCTCACCTTTTCTTTAAAAGAGAGAAACAAACCACCAGACCTTTCATTTCACGGAAGGTAATAGATTCACCCCATCTCTGGGAAAGAAACAAAAAGCCCCAACAGGCTTCTCGAAGGTTCCACCCAGCGGGGTGGGGTGGGGGGATTCCCGCAGAATTATCACGAAAACGTACACACACAGTCCTCCAGTGGTGCATTTGGAAATTACCTCCGTAAAAACAAAAGTGAGTCTTACTCGACAAAGGATGCCCAACAGCCTGATGAATGATCAACACTTGACATAAGAAACAAGACCTACAAAGCAAACCCACTCAGAGGGCACACTGGGGCTGTCCAGGCTGCAATATTAACAAAAGGGTCGCCGCAGAGCGCCTGATGGGTTCACATCGCCCACCTTTCGGTTTGCGGCCGAGTGTTTAACCACTGCGCCACCAGGGTTCCTACTTTCCCAAACGCAGGGTTTATGCCAGGCGGGTAGACTGGCCCTCCGTCTCCTAAACCACCAGGCGCCAGTTAGCAAGCAACAGAGACAGTAAAAGTAGCAAAGCCAGACAGACGAAGAAACAAAGTAGCAAAGCCACCAATGAAAAGAAACCACCAAAGACCACAGCGGAGGTGGGCCCCCAGACAAAGGCGAGGCCCGGCATGCCCCGCGCCGGACTACAGTCCCCAGCATGCCCCGCGCACACCGCCTGAGCGGACTACA